TACACAAGATAGTGCAGAGCCAAGTGAATCAGCTGTTCGCAGGTCTTCAAGGACTATAAAGCCTCCACAACGGTTCACACTTCTACTGAATTATATCTTGCTGACCGATGGTGGTGAACCATTAAATTATGAAGAATCCTTACAAGATGGAAACTCGAGCAAGTGGGAGTTAGCCATGAAGGATGAGATGGAGTCATTGCTGAAGAACAAGACTTGGGAGTTAACCAAACTGCCTGAAGGAAAGAAGGCCCTGCAAAACAAGTGGGTTTACAGAGTAAAGACCGAGCATGACGGAAGCAAACGGTTCAAAGCAAGACTTGTTGTAAAAGGGTTTCAGCAAAAGAAGGGGATCGACTATTCTGAGATATTTTCTCCAGTCGTGAAGCTTACAACAATCAGAGTTGTTCTGGGGATAGTAGCTGCAGAAAATTTACATCTTGAACAATTAGATGTAAAAACAGCATTTCTTCATGGAGAATTGGAGGAAGACATTTACATGCAACAACCAGAGGGGTTTGCAATACCAGGAAAGGAGAGTCAAGTTTGCAAACTAAAGAAGAGTCTATATGGTTTGAAGCAAGCTCCAAGACAGTGGTACAAGAAGTTTGATAACTTCATGAGTAGTACGGGATACACAAAATGTCAGGCTGATCATTGTTGCTATGTCAAACATTTTGACAACTCCTATATCATTCTACTGCTATATGTGGATGATATGTTAATTGCAGGTTCCAGCATGGAAGAGATTGACAAGCTAAAGCAACAGTTGTCAAAACAGTTTGAAATGAAGGATCTAGGAGCTGCTAAATAAATACTTGGCATGAGAATCATCAGAGACAAAGACAAAGGCATACTAAAGCTTTCACAGGCAGAGTATGTCAAGAAGGTTCTCAGCAAGTTTAGTATGGATAATGCTAAGCCAGTATGTACACCTCTGGGGAATCATTTCAAGCTCAGTAAAGACCAGTCACCAAAAACTGAGCTAGAACGTGGATACATGGACCAGATCCCATACGCCTCAGCTATCGGCTCCTTGATGTATGCCATGGTCTGTACTAGACCAGATATTGCCCATGCAGTGGGAGTTGTAAGCCGATATATGAGCAATCCTGGAAAGCAGCATTAGGAGGCAGTGAAATGGATCATGAGGTACTTAAAAGGCTCATCGGAGACATGTCTTATTTTCACAGCTGGCGGTTTGAAACTTGAAGGCTTTGTAGATGCTGATCTAGCAGGAGATGTTGATAGCAGAAAGAGTACTACAGGTTATATATACACTCTAGGAGGCACTGCTGTTTCTTGGAGTTCTACCTTGCAAAAGATAGTTGCTCTTTCAACGACAGAAGCTGAATATGTCGCAGTTTCAGAATCCACAAAAGAGATAGTATGGCTACAGAGTTTCCTGCAAGAATTGGGCAAGATGCATGGAAAGGGTACTTTGTATAGTGACAGTCAGAGTGCAATCTTCCTTGCCAAGAATCCAGCATTTCACTCCAGAACAAAGCACATACAGATCAAATATCACTTCATCCGGCAACTGCTCGACGATGAACAACTGTTACTTGAAAAGATCTGTGGAAGCAAGAATCCAGCTGACATGTTAACCAAAGGAGCCACTCTTGATAAACTGAAGCTGTGTAAAGCTTCAGTTGGACTTAAAGATTAAAAAACAGATCTAGCGCCATTTGTGTCCAAGTGGGAGATTGTTGGGTGTGGACACAACATGGTTGGTGGCAGCCATGTTAGACATGGCTAAAGTCAATGGTGGTTGCATGGTGGGTGCCTAACCAAAGAAATTGTTGCCCACCATTGTTGACTAAAGAAGAAACTTGTCTCCCACATCAGCTATAAATAGAGAGTGCCATTGATAGCTGATTAGCACCACGAGATAGAGAGAAACACAGAGAGAGAGCTAAGGGTGAGAGTTGAGTTGAGTTGAGAAGTTTTCTCCTCCTCCTTGTTTTGTTGTTTGTATTGCTTTTGAGCTTGATTAATACAAACCAGTAGCTCCGTGGAGTAGGCAAGTTGCCGAACCACGTAAATTTGTGTGTGTTTGAATGTTTGGATCTCCTAACACAATTAACATGTAACTGTTGATTTCATTGATGACCTTTAATCAATTTTCAATAATCTATGAAAAGTTTTATGAGAGTGAAAAATAATGAAATTTATTATAAGTCAAAACTCTTAAACATCAAGAGCACCATAACTTTGAAAAAACTTTCAAAATATTTAATTTTATGTATTCATATTTCATTTACCAAAAGATTATTACAATCCTTTATATAGAAAAAAATCAAAAAACCCTAATAATATTGAATAGAAAAAATAAACTACAAAAATATAATGATACAAAATAGAAAAGTAAAAATAGAAAAAAGACAAAATTAACTAAGAAAATATCATTTTCCTGAAAAAAAGTTCCTGGATCAATCTTTATATGTTAAAAAAGAAATTTTAATTAGAAACTATTCTTCACCATAAATATTATTTTGTTTGTAGCTCACCCATCATGAATCCTTAATATTTTTGTGCAAGCATCAAGCAATATTAGATTTCTTTCTTAAATGATTTTAATAACATATTTTTATATTGATGTAGTGCATTTAGTAAAATATTTTGTTAAGATTTAAACTTAGAAAATCAATGGAGAAAGCAAACCTGTTTGACCACCACCTATATGCATGCAAGCATCAGTCAAGGAGGCGTAACAAGATGGATTCTTTTGAGAATTAACTCTTACATAAAACATTGAGCAGCGATATACTTAAAAGCAAATTATACAATTTTTTTGTACAAATTAATGTGACAATTACTGTAATTAAGTCCAACCAATCATGTAAAATGTGTGAGATCCTCGACCCATCACCTCCGATCACTTAATTGCTTGTATGCAAACATCTTCCTAAAACATTCATGAAAGAAAATGGCTATGGATGTCACAAGTAACTGGGCATATATAGCACATTGACCCAGTACTTCTGGTTTGTTGCCTTGATTTATACTTTTCGGTTTTCGTCGTGCTCCAATTTGGCCCAACAGGCATCAATATTTTCCTTGACCATTCCCTATGGAGTAATTGTAAACATGCCTTTCTAAGTTATTCCTAGAGCAAAAGGTATTAATGAAGACTCCTTCATGCTATCTTGAATAACTTCGTTTTTTACACAACATTTTTTCCCGTGAAGTGGGATATACGTGGATCGATCATTTTAGACCACAACCATACTGCTTGGAACTAAAAATATTAGGTCACTTTGGTTCTTGAATTGACAGAAGCCACTATATATATTTATGATAACTACAGACGCATCGAATACATTAATCATTCATGGGAGATATAAAGCCTACACACACACACACACCATTGAAGGATTTGTATTTTTTTTAAAAAAAATTCTCATAAGAATTAAGAACTTCAACCCTTATTACACTAAGCATGTTTATATGGACTCAAATTATTTAATTGATTTGTGCAATAGATACTGGTATTATTAATTAATTAATCATTATTGTAACATATTCCTAAATGATTTGATCCACATGTATTCTATAGATGCCTGTAATATCGATTTGTCAAATGGGACTAATCAAGTTATCATGGTGGCACAGAAATTAATGCACATACGCAAGACAGAAACATGGGACTTCCCTTGACTTGTGTTAGAAGGGACTTAATTACCTTCCCTTGCAACCCAGGGAGCAAAACTGAACTTGAACGAACATCAAGCTACCAACATCAGAAATGATATCATATCACTGCTGTTTTTATTTTATTTTAAAAATGTTTTTTTTTACATTAAATTTTATTTTTTTATTTTAAATTAATTTTTTAGTGTTTTCAAATGATTTTAACGTACTAATATTAAAAATAATTTTTTAAAAATAAAAAAAAAATTATTTTAATATATTTTCAAGAAAAAAATATTTAAAAAATAAATAATTTGGATGCTAAAATTTAAATTAATTCCTAAGATAGAGCTGATTTATAATTAATTAATGTATTTGGACGGTCATATTTAAATTAATTTGAACAAATGTATTTGTCCGAAATCAACCATAATAAGCAAGATTGAGAAAATTCAAGTCATTAATTTGCACTCCTAATTTTCATTATGCGATGCGATGCGATGCTCATATATGTTTGCATGTTTTTTCCCCCCAGAGATGCCGTGCGTATGCGAGAGCGGCACCATGTTGAGTATCACGATAAGGAGGAGAGAGCGGGAAGGAGCTGGAGCTGATCGGCATCCCATGATGGGCAATTGGTGGACCCCAAACAACAGCGTACACATCAACATCAATGCATTCACATTCCCATAAATCAAGAGTCATCCTTAAGACACGCCCTGTAGGTCCAACCCGATTTCCCATGTCCCACGCGCCACCATTGACCACCCCTTCGAATCCACCCAATCCCTATCCCTTCACAAAATTACTAGAACTGCCTGTTGAAACTATTAATTGTAACGTTCTCCTGGGAAACCTGATTACACCAGCGTTATGTATTGAGCTCTCATCAGCTTTAGTTTAATTTGTTATGTTGTTTGTCATTTTCTAATCTTAATAACGCTTAACTTTTTTATTCTGGTTAAAAAGCTTTCACCTTTTTGCATTTCCTTGAAAGAAAGTCATGAATTTCTTTTCCATCTCGTGAACAAGCTTCAAGGATTTCAAGGGTATGTTAAGAACAGGCTTGTTGCCAGAAATTGCAACAGAGAAGAGGAGAAAAAATAGTAAAAAGAAGGGCTTCTAGTTCAAGTACAAACTGGAGGGACGACAAAACGATCTTTGGACAGCAGGCTTTCTAAGACATTTTGAGGTGGGGAAAGTAAAAATATGGGGGTGTAATGGGGACCCGATAGTGTGTGAGAGAGACAAAAGAGTGAGGGGGAAGTAGGACCCACACAGCGCCCATGCGCACGCTCTTACCAAAACTAAACCCTGCTATCATGGACCCGATGGGATTAGTCCTTCACCTAACCCTAACCCACAGCACACATTTTCTATCTGTACCCAAAACCCAGAACACAAGAGGAACCACCCCCCCCCCCTCTCTTATCAGCTAGCTTTAGCCTTTTTCTGCTGTTCATTTTCTCCCAAACCTTTAAGTACAGCTCTCTTTATCTTCGTGGGATAGGAGCTAGCTAGACACTTGAGATTATAACCTAAGAGATTAAAACGAAAGAAATCACCTTGTAGAGAGGGAAAGAAAAGGACGGGCTTGATTCAGTTAATTTATTTCTGCTGAAATTTTGTTGGCTGATGCATAAAAGACCATCCTTTTCCATCTTGTGGTGAAGGTTAGTGTTGGATTTGATCCATTTACAGAACATCCAAAGAAAAAGAAGCCAAAGAAGGAAGGAAAGGGGCAAATCAAGAATCACCTAAGAATCTCTCTGCTGCTATCTTTCTATTTTTTTGGGCTAGTTCTTGTATGTTCAGCCAATTTAATTAGGTTGATTTCAAGCTACCAAAAAGAAATGGATCCAGTTGCGGCTCATGGGCGTCCTCTTCCTCCACCTTTCCACACAAGAGATTTTCATCTACATCAATTTCAACACCAGCAACAACAGAATTCTGAAGATGAACAAAGCGGGAGCGGTAACTTAAACCGTGGTCAAAAGCGAGAGCACGCTGAAATCGCCACTAATAACAACAACACAGCTGAAGGCAAAGAATTAGTTCCTTCAAGTGCTGGTGGAGAAGGAGAAATTACAAGAAGACCAAGAGGTAGGCCTGCTGGGTCTAAAAACAAGCCTAAACCACCAATCATAATCACAAGAGATAGCGCAAATGCCCTTCGATCCCATGTCATGGAAATCGCTTCCGGTTGCGATATCATGGAGAGTGTATCAACTTTTGCAGGGAGGAGGCAAAGAGGAGTTTGCATTTTGAGTGGAACCGGAACAGTAACAAATGTAACTCTTAAGCAACCAGCTTCGCCTGGTGCGGTGGTTACTTTACATGGAAGATTCGAGATTTTATCGCTTTCAGGTTCGTTCTTGCCACCTCCAGCTCCACCAGCTGCTTCAGGATTGACGATTTATTTAGCTGGTGGCCAAGGCCAAGTTGTTGGAGGGAGTGTGGTGGGCCCACTTCTAGCATCTGGACCGGTGGTGATCATGGCTGCTTCTTTTGGTAATGCAGCTTATGAGAGGCTGCCTTTGGAAGAGGATGAGTCGCAAACACCGGTGCCTGGAACCGGACCTTTGGGGTCACCAGGAGTTAATAGCATTGGGCAACAGAATCAGCAACAACACCAGCTAATGCAAGATCCAAACACATCTCTCTTTCAAGGATTGCCTCAGAATCTACTAAATTCAGTGCAACTCCCATCTGAGGCCTATTGGGGCACAGGCGGCCGCCCTCCTTATTAGTAATAAAACAAGAAAACTTGTGGTTTTTCTTTTCTTTCTTTTACTCTTTGTTTCTTTAATTAACTTCTTAACCATCCATCTTCATTCTCCTCTTCTTGCTTTAAGAATTAGGTATCTTTCTAAGATGTTGTCCATCAGGGTTTTCAGCTACCTATGATTGAAGAAGGATGTACAAATTTATGGGATTTTTTTTGTGGATTTGGTGTTTATCAGATCAGTAGCTCCTTTGATTTAGCTTGACGATGAAGCAGCATCGTCAAGTTATGGCATTGCAATTATCTCTATTTCTTTCCTTTTTCTTCAGCTGCAGTTCTGATAACTTGCCTGATAATTAATCTTTCAAATATTCTTTGCTGAAGAAGGAAACAGAAAAAACAAACATTGTCCAATTCTTTATTTCCTTTTCTTTTGTTTATGTATGTGTGCTCACTATGAATTTGAGAGGTTCTATGTTACATGATCCGAACACACTCATCTATTAATTTTCTTAGAAAATATAATTACAGTGGAGTTCTGGATCTCCTTAGACTACGGTGATTTAATTTTATATTTTTTGTATCTGATTTTTTTTTTTTCAGATACAAAAAATATAAAATTAAATCACCGTAGTCTAAGGAGAGTTAATTTGTATACGCACATAAAACTAAATACAACAACATAGACTTTTTAAGTTTTATATCTTATTTTTAAGTTTTTTTGTTCTTACTTTTTACATCTGATTTTTTTTCTTTTGTTTTTGTATTCGTTTGTTTTTTGCTTTTTTATTTCTGACTGGTTAGGGTTTTTACTGAACATTATGGAAGCGCTGGCAGAGAGATGAACATTGGGTACTGGGTTGCACGTGCATTTCTCTGTAAAAGCTCCTTTTCGAGGCAACATTGATGCGCATAAAACTTCCATGTAAAGGCAGGAAAAACAGACCTCCATCAAGCGTTAAAACTCTCTTCACCTCTCTCTCTCTCTCTCTCTCTCTCTCTAAAGCTGTCACTGCAGGGTAGGGACGAGTCGATAGGCAAGGTAAGCATTATGAAGACATGTATAAAAAAATAGATAAATAAAATTCTGAATTCTTGAGTGAATGTACCCGTTCAAACCCTATATATATATAGTGGTAAATTGAAACCCTAATTTTGCTCATAAATTCTTTGCACTGAAAAAACCAACATTGAATTTCTCCTTTTATTCAGTTCTTTTATATATATATTGGAGCCTGTTGAGAATTTGATTTTATTTACCTTATTAGTTATCCTTTTTTTATATAAACAATATTACTAATTCTCAGTTATTTACTAACGCACGTACACTGAGATATACACATATATATTGATTATTTTTAAGTGCGAAGAATGTTTTTCATTAATTTTGAAGAGTTTCATCCGCTTTATATTATAGACAGACATGTTTTTTTTCCTTCTTCTTGAACTTCATAGTTTATATTTTAAGACATGTTTTTTTTCCTTCTTCTTGAACTTCATAGTTTATATTTTAAAAGAAATATTGATAATTAAAAATTGATTAATTGATATACCACTATGTATATATCTATACCTTTATCTATATCCATATCCATATATTCTTGTCTTGCTATGCTATTTTATTTCCTACTTGAATTGGCTAGTGTTTTAATTATGTGTTTGGACTTAGGAGCATTAATTTCCTCAATCTTCTTGTCACTAAATATATTTAATTACATAGTTTTTTACAAGGTTTAAACTGAGAAAATATATAATATGGCACCTAGATTTTGTACCGCTTGGAGGAGATTATTGTTGTTCTTGTTATTATTATTATTTTATTTTATTTTTTAGCTAAGGGGACCGTGTTTGTTGTACTTTGCCCCAAATGCCATTATGGTTCTTCATGATTAACACATATTGATTCTTTGACCTACACTTCAATGATTAAACCTCTCTGTATGTATAAAAATATTGGGAATCCACTCTTATTATGTTTGCCTTTTGCTTTCTTTTCCGGTACCTAACTCCTGAAAGAACTTCAAATTTGATGACTGAATTTATACCATCAACACACACCCGGCCCCCGTCCCAGTTGTGCTTGCATTACACACCAACTTTTGAACTTAAACCTGGTTTTCCTTCATTTCTTTCGTATATATATGGACCCTTTCTGATCAGATATGCTTTTATGCAGTTTTTCCCTCCTTAGAATATGATTGTAGTCGAGCACTGCTCGGGTACTTGCCCCCTGTTGTCTAGATACTCTTGCTCGTTTACTAGGTCTTGCAATATATGGACCCTTTCCGAGTTAGGCTTTTAGAAGTATAAATGTCACGCTGTGCATATTGCTCCGCTTCTGTTTATCAACATCATTCATTTTGTTCTTTTGCTTTTTCATTCCTCCGATTTCAGATTCCTTACAGAAATAAAGACCCTTTTACCTATCTCAGGCTCCTATTTTGTGTTTCTGTAATTCCACCCATTTCTGAGTTGTTCAATAGCTAGTCATTAATATTTAATGTGAGTAACAAGCTTGCGAGAGTGATAGTACTTGAGTAACTAATTTGTAATTCTATAATTCCACCCTTTCTGTAGATTATGGAGCAACTTTTGCAGTAATAAACCATGCATGAAACTATTTAGTAGAACTAGTTACGTTTCAGTTACATCTCAAAAACCCACCTCGATGATCAATAAAGTTATAAAGATACAAAGACACGCTGTATTAGTTAACCAAACAACTTTAATCCATATAAATCTGATCCGCGTTATAATTTTCGGATCAGTGCTAGTTGGCTGCTCATACATAGCTCGTCAAAGGAATATGAGTTTTAAGAAAGCAAGTGCGAAAGTGCTTTTCTTTTGATAGATGCCAAGTTTTAAGGATACTTTCAATAAGTTTCGCAATTAAAAGCTGTAGATATATGTCAATGAAGAAGCGAAGTTGATGCGTCTTTCATTAATCTCACAGCCTGTGGCAATAAATTAATAGCACAGGAGTTGATATATGTCAATGGAAGAATAATAGCCATGTCCAATCACCTTAAAAGGAAGTGTAATTATATAAATATCCCGTGAGCAAAGGAGTGTACTCATGTCTTGTGAAGATCAGGAATACTTTCTTTTAGCTTCATTACAGTATGTTCTTTTGATTTGCATTAACCTAAATTCCTTTGTCTTACGAGTGCAAAAAGCTCATAGAGTGAGTTCTTCAGCGGATAAGTAAATATAATAATAATTTGTTGAAGTCTTCGTTGGAAAATTTGGTCAAGAATATGGTTAACAGGATACAATTAAAAGTGAGTTCCCCTCACTTTAAACTTAATCTCCAACATAAAATTTTTAATATATAATATTAATATGTTTTAAATAAATTATAGATGAATGAAAAATTAATCTTAAATTTTTTTTAATTGATATATTTTGCTGAAACTCAAAACCCTTAAAAGAATTATTTTTCAAGTAGAAAAGAAACAAAACTTTCTTGATATTTATAAAATAAAAAGTTAAAATTAAACTGAAAAAGCACTTAAATTTTTAGAGAAAAAGTATCCTAAGCAAAATAAGCTTTGGACTTAAACCCTCTCGCTCACAAGCTCGAGCTTGGGCTCTGAATTGATCTTAAATTTAGATTTAGTTTGTTATAAAAATAATATTTTGGACTATAAAAATTTATTTTTTGTAAATTAAAATTTAAACTTAGACTGGATTCATTAAGAATTATTTCTTTCAATTTTTTCATTATATGAAAAGAAAGATTTAATTAGTTTTTTCAAAAATCTTTCAACAATACCCAAATAGTTTCTCCAAGTAAGAATTTACTTGATTTAAATCCAAAAAAAATTACTTTTGATTCTAATTTATTATGAGTGTCAAAGTTGTTAGTACAAGAAGTCCATCAACTTTTGAAGCTTAAAATTCTCTATAAAAATGGGTTGAAAAGGATTGTTTGGGTTCGTAAATTCTACATTGTTTTGATAGAATTTGACAATACTCTTCCTCCTCTAATTTCTCAACATTCCTCTTCTGACTTTAAAGTTTTGTTTTCTCTCAAAATCCCTCTTAATCTAGAGTTTAAACTTAGTCATTATAGATGGATAATTGAGTACTATTTTCTTTTCTTGGCCTGAAAGATTTTATTTAAAAATACACCTAAATAAGATGGTAGTGTTGGAATTCTGAAATACTTGTATTGTTTCAAGTGATGAGCAATAAAACATTAAGAATAAATAATTGATTTCTGACAACAATTAAACCTGATTAGTTTTATAAAGTGTTTTAACAAGTAAATAATATTTTGATTTTGTTTGATTTTATACATTAGTGCTAATGCATGCTAAGATTGTGATTCTATTATTTATGCAATAATATATATATATTTATTTACTAAATATTTTAGTCTTTGTGTTATTGTAAGTAACCATATACTTATTACATTGCATACTTACAAACTAAATATATTTTCATACTTGTCTAATTTTAATTGTGAATTTTTAAACTAAATATCTCTATCTGCTTCTTCTTTTTTCCTTTTACCTTGAAAGATGTCTTTACAAGTATGTGAGATAAGTATTTAATTTCGACATTTTTGCTTTTCTAGTTTTAACTATAAGGGTATTCCTTGCCTTTTTGTGCATTGAGATTTTTTTTTTATCTCGATCTTAAAATAAGCCATTCACGTTTAATAAGATAATTTTTTTCCACGGCTCCTCTGAGGTGTCAAATCCTAGGCGGTGATTTGGGAATTAACCCACTTATTATACTATTCAATTAATTAAGCCTTTCTAGAGGATTAATTATCCTATAATAATACGGAAGAGATAGACCTGTTTTTTTTTTTTTTTTGCGTTTTTGTGAAGTAAATGAGACCTTATAAAGAACATACACAGAAAGAATGTTGCCAGCAATAGCATTTCAGGGAATCATGACACACACACACACACACATATATATGCCATGAAAGCCTAATCACAATGAAGCATTTGATAGAACCAGATTATCGATTTGGGTTAAGAGGGAACCGCCCTTTTGAAGGTTTGGGAATTGAGATTGGCGATCGTTAGTGTTGGGAGTTTGCTTCAAGGTTGTGCCTGGTGGGCTGGTGGCTCTTAGCACGGACTACTGACCCAGGCAAGAGTGGGTCAGAGTGACCATCAGCCTGGATCCGGTAAATTCTGTGATTTAGGCTCTCGGTCAGCCGTATGAGAAAAGGAGATGCTTTTTTACTGGTCAGGGGGAAGGAAAGTGAAACATTGGCTTACGCGGCTTTAATTTGACCAAGTATGGTTACCCGGTAAATTCTGTGATTTAGGCTCTCGGTCAGCCGTATGAGAAAAGGAGATGCTTTTTTACTGGTCAGGGGGAAGGAAAGTGAAACATTGGCTTACGCGGCTTTAATTTGACCAAGTAGGGTTACCCGGCAAATTCTGTGATTTAGGCTCTCGGTCAGCCGTATGAGAAAAGGAGATGCTTTTTTACTGGTCAGGGGGAAGGAAAGTGAAACATTGGCTTACGCGGCTTTAATTTGACCAAGTAGGGTTACCCAGCAAATTCGTACTCGAGACTCGTAGGATTTCCATTTTTCAAAATTATATGGAGAACTTTTCATTGTGAAAAACTTAGAAAAGGGTTGTTTTGTATTTATTTCATTGGAAAAATTCGTTAACCTTGACCTCACGTAAGGTCCTCCTAGATTGATTCCCACTTCCCTCTCCTGTAGACTCTAACAAGACTACAAAGCAGTGTCTAGAGACAAGGATCTGTAGTCTTCCCCATAACAAAGCTGACCAACGAATATTTTCATTGCTGGTAAATAGAGTGAATTTACACGGAGTGAAATTACACACGGTGAAGTGCGGCAGGCGTCCCTTGTCCTGCGGGACTACAACTCCAGTTACAAAACTTTTTTTTTTTTTCTTTTCATGATGGCTACGAGTCTATTCACTTGTCAGAACTACCATTTCCCGTCTTTTCCCTCAATCTAGCTACAAATATTAATACACTAGCACAAGATCAATTGTAAACAATCCCCCCGTCTCGCCTCTTTACACAAAAATTGCGAGAGTATTCCAATTGACCAAGTAATTATTCAGTGCAAAGAATGATGCGTGATTCTTGACCAATCTATACAGCAACCAGAGAACTAGCTTGGCCCACAGATAAGGATAACAAAAAATTAACATGTGGTCAACACTCTATCCGTAACCGCCGCATTTCAGACCTGAAGGTGGAACTTGAATTCAAAGTCCGACAAGCAAGAGCTCTTATGTCCTCTCGAGAACAATAACGTGAGATACGAACTAGCTCCCAAAGCGCACCTCCACTGATCATTTCTTTTGCATTTACTTCTGAAAAATAAATTTGACCTTTCAAGGAACATGTCAAAGGGAATTTTCTCGATCAAAATGAGGAAGTGGCACTTACCTTGCTGAGCCAAGTGACATAGAGCAAGCTCAATGTGGCGTCTGATTGGTGCAGCTTCATTATTAGCATTTTGTACAATCCATGGAAGTGCGCCGTCTTCTATAAGAAGAGATCTGCCACTTTTTAATCCTGTGGTAGGCCAACATAATGCTAACATTAAGAATATAGATTCATTCACATCTTCCCATACAAATATGTTCATAACACAGTCTATGAACTATTAGATATATTCTTATCCAGTGTGCTATTGGACATACGACACATTATCAGACAAACATGATCGAGGAATCTGGCCAGACTGTGAGAGCTGAGAACATTTAATAGAATTGCTTAACAAATTTGAAGGTACAATAATTATCTCCTCAACCTTAACACTTGCCCAAGTGTCCCCACAACAAAAGAAATGAACCCACATGAACAAAACCCAAGAATAGCAGTAAGCAGATACTTCAACCTAAAATCAAACATATATTTTCCGAAGCAACAAATGAAAATAAAAACTTTCCCTAAACACACATGATAAGTTTCCATTTTCTGATTTGACAAACCACCACAGATTGAATGTAATATCAATTGCCATTAAGGTCCAGATATAGCCTGTTTGCAGGCCTTAATACAGATGTTCATGGTCAAGATCATATGAGACTGAAAACTAACCTTGAGTAGATGCTCGGGACTCGCATTTTGCAAAGTTTGCAATCCCACGAGCAACTTGGGAAAGAACATCAGGATGTCCACACCTCACCATTCCTAGCAGAGCTCTTATCCCACCTTCAGACCTCAGCTTCATTTGTAGCTTATCTGTGAGACAAAAAGAATGTAGTATATCAATACCGCACAATAATTTGATATGACATCCAGTTTAAAACATTGAAAGCATACAATTTTCATTTGAGCATTAAATCCATAGCGGAGGCAAATTAACAGCTGCAGCAAATGCATTTCTCTCAAGGGCATCTCTTTAATACAGCATATTCACTGAAGCAAAGCTAAAGAATATGTATATGGCCTTCGGAAATTATTAAATTGACATTTCTTTGATGAATGTGCTCCAATTTTTATTAAGTTGCATTGACAAAGGCGAGACTCGAACCTGAGACCTCACCCCTTTTGCTTGTGCAAGAGTACCACTAAGCTACATGCTCATTGGCATGTTATTAAATTAACTATTCATCAAGAATCAATAATGACATGCTTTTAGAAATACTCCTTAACTGAAATGTGTTCTAGATTTTCATTCTAGCAAGATTCTTGATAACATGCTGTTAGAAATACTCCTTTACTTCTAGATTTTCATTCTTGCACTCCTGTCTTGATGAAGGTCTAGCAGCCTTTCCATGGCTTCTATTTTACAGCAAACTGAACTTCTTATAATGTTAATAATGGCCAAAAATATATGAAGAGGAAAGAAACACTAGCGTGATGCAGCAGAACAAGCAGCATACCATTTCCACATAGATTTGCAATAGCTCCAGAAACCATGCGTAGAGTTTGAGGATCCTCAGCATCAGCTGCTGTCATAGATAACAAACTAATTCCCCCTTGAGCCATGATTAGTTCTTGATTGGCTTCTGGAAGAAAGGCAACAATACACAGAACCTATATATTTAGGAGCTGATTGGTGTTGGAACCAAAAAAGCAATAATTGTGAAGATGACAAGAGAGAAGTATGGGTGACAATTACCATTCATTGCAAGATTGGCAATTGCACCTGCTGCTACTCTGCGAATAGTTTCATCCTCAAAGCTTCTAAGGACCATCAGCAAAGAAGTAAGACCACCAGATTCAACAATCCTTTCTTGATTTGCTTCTGCATGATATACAAGGTGAAACACAAATCAGTCGCATGAGATAAAAAGAAGAATAACAAGTACAATAGTTTGAACCTAGGATCTACCACAACCCAGCTCATCCATTCCAGCTATAAATGAGTACTGACCTTCAGCTGCTAGATTAGCCACTACTTTTACAGCATGTATTCGTACATTTGCATCTTCTGACTCAAGCAGTGACAAAATCTTTTGCAATCCAACTGTCAAACCCATTGATCATTAAACTAAAAGAAACGCATGGACCAAACATCGTTCATGATTTTGTGCAAGAATTTTATTACCGTGTTCAAAAAGTGAGGCAGTTGGAGCCTTCTGTCCATTCATAGTCTCTTTAAATTGTGAATGCCTAGCTTGCGACATGAGGGAATCCACAGCACTGAAACCATTTGCGGATCCACTTCTTTCAAGATACCTTTTTGCCTACAAACATCAATGGTGTAACCAGGTTAAAGTTATAGATAATATATGATTATGTCAGTGATTAAGGCTGGGGATGGGCAACTGGACAAGGACGTTGCATCTTGTAACAATTAAAGTTAACTTAACCCGTGAATTAAAAGCATAGTTAAAAATTAAAAATTTTCCTATAAATTAAGAATATGTTTGGTAAGATGGTAAAAAGGTTGAAAATTTACGTTCATAATTTTGCACCCCTTTACTCGTGTTTGGTATATTTTTTAGAGGAAAAGATTTAGAGGTTGACGTTCAACCCTCAAAAGAGGGTCATATGTAAACCTTGGAGAGGTGGGAATAAAAGAATTTTTCAGGGGGGGGCTTTCAATTTTGTGTTTTTCCCTCTCTTTTTTTAATTTTCACCATTTTTTTCCCTCATTTTGATCCCATCTCAAATTTTGGACAACAAATATTTATTATTTTAATATTTCTCATGATAATATTGAATTTAACATTTGGTTTAATTCAAGCAGGACCCACTATCACACATAATTTTTCATCTTTTACCAAACACCCTTGACGTTTCACCTTTTAACATTTTTTTACACCCTTAACAACCATTAATCTTACTTCTTAACATTTTCCCTCCAAATTTTAACCTAATACCAAACACAACCTAAGAGCAAATGATCATGGTTTGAGTGATTATACGCACAAAAAGAAAACTGCCCAATATTTCTAAATTGAATACCTGATCAGCTTCAAAAGTCAACTGCAACAACTGACTTTGTAGGATCACAACTTCTTCTTCCAGTTTCCTTTTCTTATATGCCTCATCCTCCAATATCTTGTGAAGCCTTATAATCTCTGTATCTCCACCAGCCTAGTGCATGAATAATCCACAATTTATTCTTTTTTTTTTTTTTTGGTTGGATGTGGATTGATGATGGAGTGTTTGGGAAAAGTGCAGAGAAGAAAGGCAATACAAAGCTTAATCCTTACCCCTGGCTGCATAAATTGCTCAAATTGTCCCTTAAGTTTGTTGGTCTCATCTTCAGCCGCCTTTCTTAACTGAATTTCATTTTGAAGCAACTTTCTGAGATCAGAAACTTCCTCAGAAACAGGGCCCAGCTCCTGAGAAATAGGATGGAAATGGGAGAAAAGGCAGGGTTCATATTGAAAAAATTTGGAAAATCAATTTTTAGAGAAAAGACAAAATGCACTGACAAGGGTCAAGATATAACAGCAAAACATTCATTGTAACCCAGTGCCATGAGTAACTACATCGCAGCGCCAAGAGATTCTGTACTGAACTATAAGTGCATCATCATAATTAGCAGGGATATGCCTGTCCTATAATCAATATTATTTTTATCAAAGGCAAAATTTATACAGCAGCTGGATAATATAAAGTTTGAGAGAGGATTGAATCCTAACTGGAATTCATAGATTTCAATCCGACAACAGTCATAAGACAACATTCTCAACAGCAACAAGTGCCACATAAAGATTACCTCTCCATTGCAATTATCATTGATGAAGTCATCACAGTCATGGCTTTGCTGATTTGCTAACAATTTTTCCTCTAGCTCCTTGACAGATTCCATGTATTCCATCTGACACTTTAGCCTCTCCTTCTACAAAAAGCAACGGGAAACTTAAAGGTGTTGAAAAAAAATATTATAGTAATTGAAACAATAAGACTCCAATTTCATGTTAAAGGGTAGCAAGGAATGAAAGGAGTAAACTGCCACGAGTATATTCCTTCCTAAGGCATTTTTAGTCCCTCAACTTTCATTTCTCTTGTTCTTTCCAGGATCTAAACAAAAACTAAACCCTGAATGAGAGTATAAGATAAACTGCATTGACAAAAAAATGAGTGCCATCCTTGACCATTACAGCCTCGGCTCTTTCCATGTTTAGTACAAAAAGAACAGAGAAGTAAATGAAAACAGTGCTATTGATTGCAAGTAACATGCAAGGTTCTTCTTTACAGGAAATAATCAATAGCTGAACTGACCTCTAAGGCTTCTGCAAAGTTCCTTTCCACCTCAGCAATACGATTTTGTGCTTCTTGATTTATTCTTTCAACTTCATTGTCAAAGGCTTTCTGTTGCCTTTCATTTTCTGCAATGAGCTTGTCTACTTGTATTTCAAGCTTTCTAGATAAACTTTTGTAATCGAACTCTTCCTTTATTTTCAACATGTTCTCCACCTTCATCGCCTAAAGACAGATGAAGTATGTACAATCAGTTGATTATTTATGCTACATCAATATGTAAAATATACTTTAATGGTGCCATCATAAATACACTATGAATATTAATAAAACTCTCATTAAGTAACAGGGATGCCAAATAAAAGCGGTATGAAGTCATGATGTAAAAAGGTTGAAATACAAATTTCACAATAGCATTTGTAATTTGTACATTATAACAGAGGAGAGAAAAAACTGTTTATGGCATGTACTGCAAAGATCAAAGGCATGACACATGAATCAACAGTGCTCACCCTTTGTCCAAACAATATAGTGCTCGAAGTCTCGCCCCTGTGGCGTGGTGATGGGCCAATGGTCACAATTAAAGAAGTTCTTGCAGTTCCTGCAGTGAGATGACATGTGACCAAAATATGAACTGGCGTTTTTTTGCAGAGAAATCTTGAATAAGAAGCCAGTTCATTTATGAAAATAAACCTTCATTGAATGGTAAATTAGTAAATGAATTATTCCTCTCAAGAAACAACAAGGGTAAGGTAATGGTTCAAATAATCACTAATTTGGATCTCACCAATAACATCTAATTAACTGATCCAGTCAGATCATATCAAAACCTGAGAAAAAATTAACTTACATGAATAAGAATGGCAACTCACCTCCAAATGAATCTTTAAGCAACCTTGTAAGTTTTGAATCGCGAATTGGAACATGAGAACTATTCTCAGCCAGTGCATTTATGCACTTCCCTAGTGCACTCAGTGAGAGATTAATAGACTTAGCTTCCTCTAGCATATGTCCCTCGCTTCCTATCAAATGAGGAAAGAGCGTATGTTAAGAACCTACTAACTCATAAAAACATGAGAAAGAGGTTTAAGAAAGCCATGATTGTCAGAAACCACACTCCACCTCATATATATCCACACTTATAGTCCAATGGAAATAAAGAAAAAGTAACATCTTCTGATACGCACCTGACTTGTGAACACGTTCTGAACCAGCCAGATCTACCAAAACCAGCTTGCTTTTACGAACAATAGGTTTTGAAGGTTTGACCAGATGAGATGAATTATCAATTTCACTTGAAAGAGCATCTTCTCCTCCTGTGAATGACCTCTTAACCTGAACCTGCACTTAAATATGCAACTATTAATCAAACAGAAAACTGAATCAAGAGCATCAAAAGTAAAGAAGAATTATTCACCATTAGAATAGCATGACTACGAGAAGATTCAGTATTCAACTTCGTATTCGCAGCAATTCTATGAGCTTCCCCTAATCTTAGCAGTTCCACAATACTCTGCTGGTCCCTGATTTCTGCAACAGTTGCCCCAGGTACTGAAACATCACCAGTTTTTGGATCTTCCACAATAGAAATATTATTGTTTGCCGGAACAAGAAGGTCCTGGACAGCCTCCATATAAAGCTATACGTGTTTGTAAAGAACAAGAATGTTAGGTAAGTTGTGAAGGCACAAACTGTAACAGAACAAGATCAAAGTGAACATGGTGAAGTAGAAGTTCAGAAGTAATTTCATTCAATTTGTCACTTAATAAATGTAAGAAAAACAAATAAAAAGAGATAATGCAATGGTACAACCATCTTTCACCTAACTTGAGCCCAACCTGCAAATATGATACTGAGACAGAATCAGTCTCTAGAGAGATTTCTGTTAAAATATCCTCCATTGCACGAACCATGATCCCACGAGAAGAAGTATCATCCTCTCCCAGGTGTCCAAGAGTAAAAGTTTTCCCAGTACCGGTCTGACCATAAGCCATCACTGTCCCATTGTAACCATCTAAAACACTCTAAAAAATGAAAACTCACATCAGTAAAAATTTTAAATAAGACCCTACAGATAACATATGAACACCCAGCGTGGCATTATAACCCATACAAACAAAACGGAAGCTGACAGCAACGTTCAAGGATTTTAGGATACGTCACGCCCAAAACATAATGTTTAGTGACATTAAGGCGCCAGCATCGTTGCTCAATTCAGCAATGTAAATAAATAAACCAAAAGTAACCAACCTCAACAACAGGCTTAGCAACAGCTTCGTAAACACGCTTCTGAGACGCGAATTCAGTAAGCACGTCATCGAACTCATATGTATCCGCATCCCAATTGTTTTTTCGAAGCTTCAACCTCTTAAGCTGAGATTGAACAAAAAAAAAAAGGTCCCAGAATCATTAATAACACCACAACCAAGCTCAAAAACAATACTCTAATAATGGCACATTCAGACCACCTCAGGCTGCAATTCAACATAATCGGCAAAATCCGCATCTGCTGCCAACTCCTCTGCATTTCGCGGCCGCAATCTCACCGCCACTCTAACTCTTCCCAGCACTGTCAAAACCATTAAAACATTTTGAAATCCACAGCACAGACTGATACTCCTTCACCACTCAAACAAAGATCCAAAGTCGGAAACCTAAAACCACTATAAATGCTTTCTACTAGTGATCAACATAGTTCGAGATGAGCCAAAATGTAATAAGAGAAAAGGAAGGAACTCACCTCCGTCGTCGGAGGCGGACAAAGTGGAAGGGTAGCTGCGGCGGAAAGATGAGAGAGGAGCGTGAGAGGGGTGGACTCTGGATTTGAAAGAGGAAGATTTGAGATTAGAAGCAGTGAGGGGTTTAAGTGGCCTTTGAGCGCTGCTGCTGCCATTTCGAAAAGCACTGTTACTTGACGATGATGATGATGCCATGTGATAATTACTTATCCTTTTCAGATTCTCCGGTTACTTTTCCGTTGAATGGTTGCTGTTGTTGTTGGCGAAGCGGAGTTGAGTGAAAGAGAAAAGGGCCAGAGAGGGCAGGATTGATGTCCGGTTGTGGAGGTGGAATTTGCGGGGTTTGAGTCGATTCCAAGTAGATGGAGAATGGGGGTCCCTTTTATCATGGGTCCCACATCCCGGTCCGTTCCTTCAATTTTTACGATTCAAAAGTATTTGACATTTACATTTTCCTTTTCTTTTTTAAGCAACTTTAATTTGAAGTTCAAATTTTGCTTTCAGAGGGTGGTGGAGACATCATTTTCCATTTATAAGGTTTATTTGTTTTAGTGTTTTAAAAGTATTTTCAGTGCTGTATTTTAAAACTCAGTTTTTATTATAATTTTAAATAGTTTTTTTTTGTTTAAAAAACCAGGTTAAGAGTCTTTTAGAAATAAAAAAATGAAAATAAACTTGTACTTTACTATAAGATATTGAATTTATAAAATTAAATTTTTATTATTAGGCTCATATTTTATTTTTTTATTCAAAATACAAATTTTAAAAATATAAATTTCAAAAGTACATGGAGACATGGTTTCGTGATCATAAAAGAAACTTGTTTTTTTATATATTTATGTTTGATTATTTATATGTATGTTTATTATTTTTGTGATGTTTTACTTATTTATTAGACTTTGTAGAATATTTATTAGATTAAAAAATTAGTTATGATGTTAATAAGTTGGCCGAACATCCTGAGATTAAAAAAAAAAGCATTCAAGATATAAAATTCTTAAGAAACCAAATCGGTGTGCCGTCACCGTCTAATTGCAAAAAATGCCTGATTTTCAAGAGCAGAACGTCGAGAGCCCATGGGTAATTTATACACATCTTGTGTGGAAACACAAGAAAACAAAAAACATGGCTACAAAACAATGTTAATCCAAGTAATATTATGTAAATAATGAAAATCACAGAATGCCTACAAGCAGGTATGTGGATCCTGCACTCAGCCCCATCGAATATTTTTACGATTTTGTGTGAGAAAACTTTACTTTTTTTAATTTTACTTTAATTTGATGTTTTCCCTTCTAGGGAGAGGGGAAATCTATGTGTTGAACGGAAGAAATCTATAACTATAAGCATGGATGGTTAATTAATTCTCAAATATATCCGGAATTTACCATAAATTCAATAGTTTTTATATGAAAACAATTTGCTTTTGACACTTAAAGGATAAATGTTGTCTTGATAGGATGTACGGTGTTTCAAAAGTAATCTGAATATAAAATTATAACTTTTGAATTATAATATGGTTCACTGCGCTTGACAAGGATATATTCAAATACAAAATCCTCGTAAACAAATCTTGGTGTCTGATTTAACACTTAATTATAAATACACATTCTATGAAAATATAAAATGTTAAGGTTTTTTTTTTTTCTTTTGTATAACTATCCACCGCTTCACTATGAAATAAGAATTATAAAAAGTTTAAATTTGGCTCATTCTTGTTAGAACAACGAAATTCAAAAATGACCACAAATAGCTAATAAAAATGAGAAAAATTCAAAAATAATCATAGATAGCTAATAAAAATAAGATGAAATGAGAAATTAAACATTTAAGAATTTACATAATTCGGACTATATTCATTGATAAGTATAAAAAAATTTCATTGAGAATTATAAGATCACTATAAAAAATAAAAATTTAGCAATCTCTTTACTTGCACACAAGTAAACACCTATTACATTATTCTTATGGATACCTTATAAAATGTATCACTTACTTTTTTATGAGATTTCTCTCTTCTTAACCTTAATGATGCATCTAAGGTCTTATGATGCATCTTATTTATAGGATAAGTATAACAATCTTTGCATTAATTTGGCACCGAATTGGTGCCTACCGTTTTTAATTTAGGCACCAATTCGATGCTTGCACATTCTTTTGTCAGGAGAAGAATGGGTTTCCATTTATTGGAAACCAAAAAGTTAGTAGCTTCAAGTACGAAAACTTTAATAGTTTAATTATTTATTTATATTTAATTATTTGTGATTTTTATATTTTTTATGCACTTATTATCTTCATGTTACTTACATTTTTATTTGTTAATATACATTATATTTACTTATCAGTATTGATTAATTTGATCAGGATATCTGTTAGATTTTTTTAATGTGGTTTTTTTTTAATTCATATTTTTATCTTTCATTATTTCCTAAACAAAACGATATTAAACATTTATGTATAGTATTCTTAAATATTCTTAAATGAAATATTATATTCTTTGCATCTATGTATAGTATTCTTAAATGAAATATTGTATTCTTTGCAATGCACGATCAATTTAAACCACTGCTAGTAATAATTGTGATTATTCAATACACATATGATAATGTAAACAGTAATTATGTTATCACAACATAATTTTAGCCCAAACTCGATTCTGTATTTTACATAAAACAAAGTCCAAATCACCACAATTGAAACCAAACAAAATCATAAATTATCAAACTGTGAACCTTAATAGTAGTATTTTAATATTATTTTTATTTGTTAATTATAATCTCGAATTAACATACGTTAGTTTTAATGTTTTTTATATTAATTATAATGATAATTAATAATAACAACAATAAAACATAACAATGTGTGTTTTTAAACCTGTGAAAAAATTATTTGAAAATTTAAACAACTTGTTGACGATATTCACATGTTAATCTAAAATAAATATAAAAACATACTACATGTAAAATAACATTAAAATTAACATGATAATTAGCTGTTATATCATATTTTGAATAAAGATTTCACATAACTTAGTAGAACATCAATAATATAATTATTTTTTATCATTTACTACTATCAACTTATATAATTATTTTTTATTGTTTACCAATAACATACAATACCTACTTCTTAGGGTTTTTTCCTTTGCAGGTTTGGCCACCATGAAGAAGAGAATTATTTGTGATTTTTATATTTTTTATGTGCTTATTATCTTCGTGTTACTTGCATTTTTATTTGTTAATGTACATTATATTTACTTATTAGTATTGATTAATTTGATCAGAATATCTGTTAGATTTTTTTAATGTGATTTTTTTTAATTCATACTTTTATTTTTTATTATTTTCTAAACAGAATGATATTAAACATCTATGTACAGTATTCTTAAATGAAATATTGTATTCTTTGCAATGCACGACCACTGCTAGTAATAATTGTGATTATTCAATACACATATGATAATGTAAACAGTAATTATGTTATCACAACATAATTTTAGCCCAAACTCGATTCTGTATTTTACATAAAACAAAGTCCAAATCACCACAATTGAAACCAAACAAAATCATAAATTACCAAACTGGAAACCTATAATTAAGAGTGTAGTATTTTAATATTATTTTTATTTGTTAATTATAATCTTGAATTAAAATATGTTATTTTTAAAGTTTTTATATTAATTATAATGATAATTAATAATAACAACAATAAAACATAACAATGTGTGTTTTTAAACCTGTGAAAAAATTATTTGAAAATTTAAACAACTTGTTAATGATATTCACATGTTAATCTAAAATAAACATGAAAACGTACAACATGCAAGACAACATTAAAATCAATTAGCTGTTATATCATATTCTGAATAAAAATTTCACATAACTTAGTAGAACATCAGTAATACAATTATTTTTTATCATTTACTACCATCAACTTATATAATTATTTTTTATTATTTACCAACAACATAAAATACCTACTTCTTAGGGTTTTTTCTTTTGCAGGTGTGGCCACCATGAAGAAGAGAGGGGGGATTATAGATCTATTTTATCCATGATTTTGAGTTGTAGTTATATTATGCAATTACTATTTAAAACGATGATTCTTATTAAAAATTTAATTCTGAATCGTGGGTTATACTAAAAAAATGATTTAAAATAGTGGTTTTCTTTAAAATATATTATTTTTCATTTTTTTTTTCAAATTATGTAATTCCTCTAAAATTTTATTGTAGCTGTGCCATTTTTCAAAAAAAATCCTAAATTTCTTGGCAAAATCATTTGATGTTGGAAGTGGAGAATTTTGAATTGGTGAAGAAATAAGACGAACATGTTTTTTTTTTTAAAAAAAGTAATTAGTTGAGTAGACTTGACTGGATTTGCAATTTGCATTGACTGACTTCTCCGAGTATTACAGTAGATCCTGTTCTCATAACAAGAAAATAATAGAGAATTACTGAATTGTTAACTTTTAGAAAATGGGACAGCCGCACTGTGCAGTTAGGATAACAGCAAATGCTATATATACTATATTAAAAAATAATAAAAATTTTATTTACAAGTTTAGATTTTTAAGAAAGATAGTTATTTAATATAATATTAGAATTTGATGATTAAATAGTTTTAAGTTTGAATTTCATCATTTTGATTTATTTAATAAAAATTAAATAAAAGTTAATATAAGTTTATATAAGTTTTAAGTCCAGAAAAAATAGATATTAAAAAATAATAAAACTTACATTATGAAATCTTAACTGTGAGATAATTTTTTTACGGACTCCACAATTAGAATGTAAGATTTGCAATACTTATTTTGATTAGAAAAAAAAAAGATTTGCAATGCTTTTCCATTGGAATGGGACCGCATAGTTACAAAAACAATTGCATTCAATTACAAGTAGAATAAGTAAAGTGTAAGCCAGATGGCTTTTTCATGCATATTTTTCACACGAAGAGAAATAATTAAGTTATTCCATGTGAGCCATCACATCGATTTGTCACATACATAATATAATTATAAAGTCAATGAGAGATGTCTTAAAATTTAAGATGTTTAGAAATATAGGTTTTTAGTGGTTGACTAGTGATTTTATGAAGTATTATTGCTATTTGATCCATTCTTTATAATTAAAAAATGAAACTGAGATATATACAAAATAATTATTTTTTTAATGAATTTTGGGACTCCCATATTATTAAATCAATATATTTATAGAGATAAAATGTAACAAATAATATATAAAATATTAATTCTAGAAATAAAATTGTTCTGTTGATGTTTTGACATATAATAAATGTTTTACAAAAAAAAATGATGTCATGTGTATATAATTATAATAAAGAAATTATGAAACTTGTTACATTTTAAAGAAATTATAAACTATGATTTAAAGAGTATTTATATCTCTAAATCTTGTTTTCTTGATTAAATGAGGGGGTTAGAAAATTATTTCATCCTAATAATATTTGTAAAAGATAATTATGTTTTATACATGTAATACCCCGGAATGAGCCCAGGCCACGACTCCTAGGCCTAGGAGATGGTATAAAACTGGGCCCATACTATAACTCTTAAGCCCAGGGGAGCCAGCTGGTAGGCCTAGTGCTGAGCCTAAAGGGCACTAGGCCATGTAGCCTGGCGCTGGCCCTTGCGCCTTGTATGTAATATAAAGGAGCCAGGCCACCCTAGGCCCTAGCACATTCTATATAAAGGTGTCATGCCACCCTAGGCCGGTGGCCTTCTGGGCTCAGGCTTTGTCCCTAGATTTAAAAATCGTGCCAGGCCACTGGCCTAAAGTTGGGTATAGGCCGTGAATCTAGATCCTAAACTTGTTTCTAGATTCTTTTTAGATCAACCCATTATTAAAAAAAAACAAGTGGGTTTTAGATAAATAAAAAGTTGTTTTAAAAATAATGATAAACCATATTACATCACATATAATGTTAATTTTAAATGCTATTAACACACCATAGTAATGTCAAGGATGTAAAAAGATTCAAACTAATCATTATACACGTATTAAAAAAATAATCTTCAATGTTTAGAATAACATAATTGTTTTTTTTAATATAATGATAATCAATTTGTAATTTTTGATATTTTTTTATTTTACACTTGGTATGTTTATCTATTTTTATAGTTTTTTTTCTTGAGAAAAAATATTTATCATTTTAATCTATTTTTATGATATTTTAACTTATTTTTTCTTTCAACTTTGAATATTTATCATTTTATACTTAATCAATTTATACTATTTTTTTGTTCTTATATTTTTTTTTTATGGATTATTTATTTTTTATTAATTTTTTAACTATTATATAAAAACTAAAAAAATAATATTTTTCTATGACAATGTAACATTATCTTATTTTTTTTAATATTTTTAAAATCAGCTTGAGGTATTATAAACATATATGTATCATTTACTATATTTGATTATATATAGGTACTAATTTTTAAATTTATAATTGTAATTTTTACTTAATTTTAGAAAACACGTTAATACATCTACAAAATTAATTATTTTGTATTAGAAAAAAATTATTTAATTTACATATAGGTGAATTAATTAGTTGTGTTAATATTTTTTTCATTTATTGACATAAATAATTATTAATTTATTTAATTAAATATAGGTATAGACGTTTTAATTTAATTAAGATTTTTTTTACAAGAAAAAATACAATTGAAAAGCTTGAATAATTTTTTTTTTTAAATTTACCCACTACAAAGCAAGTCAAACAACTAGTTAAATAGCTAGATTAAAAAATCAACAATAATTTTTATGTCATCAATCAACAACTGCATTGAAATATATTATTGTGCTGTATTTTAAATGTCAAAGGAAATCTCAAATTTCAACCTCTACTTTATAAATAAATAAAAGAAATTCACATTATTTTCCGCAAACTATCTGCCTTTACCAGTTCTTTTGAAACAAAGAAAAAAAAAAAGGAAGAAAAAACGGAAAAGATCAAAATTGGATTAGTGCTGGAATTCAATAGCGCCAGCTGTCACTTCTAAATGAAGAAACTCACCCTTAAAAACCCTAAGAAGCACCCATAGCAAGTTCTTTATGCCACAGCCTCCACTCCAACACCCACCCACTCCCATTTACCCGTCGGAGCTTGACGTAATGGCCGCCCTATACAGCAACAGCTCCACCGCCCTCCTCCAAAACATCACCATCAGCACTACGATTATTGCCACCATTTCAACTATTATTACCATCAGCACCATTCATTGAAATCCCATCTCTGCTCTTCATTTTTTAATCACATAGTGAGAAATAAATAAATAAATAGACTCACTTTCAATACGCAAGAAGAAGAAAACATAAGCTTACAAAAATGGCTGCCATGAAGAGCTATAGCGTATGCTTGAGGGAGTCTACTCTCCAGTTTCCGCGTCCTTATTGCGGTGATAATTACAAGAGGTTTATCTCATTTTCTTATTAAATCTTTATTAGTTCTGTTAAATATATATTTTTTTAGTACTTCTTAAAAACAGATCCCGTTGCCTCACACACGTTTTTGTTTTAAATGATAGGAGGGGTGGAAAATGGAGATCTCCACAAGCTGCTGTAATACCAGATGTTCATCTTCCAATGCGTAGTCTTGAAGTTAAAAACAGGCAAGATAATAATAATAATAAGCTTCTTTCGATCTTTTAGCAGGTTATGATTGTCGATTATTTACCGTAGCGACGCTTCATTTTTATTTTCATTATTTCTGTTTTTGCAAATGCAGTAAGCAAGGTAAAACTCAGAAAAGAAACGGTGCCAATTAATCATCATTTTATTGTAATAACCAAGAATTTAACTGACAACCTCGGACCTGGATAGATAATATTCTACATATAAAAATCAAGGGCCAGACTTGTAATTGGAATCGTAACTGTGTAAATGGATTCTTACGATGCTAAGGAGGTGTTCTGGATTGTTTTACATGTTTTTTAAAATAGCTTTGAGCTTAAAAATATATTAAAATATTTTTTTTATATTTTGTTTTTTTAATTTTTAATATTAATATATTAAAATCATTATAAAATACATCAATTTAACACCTTTGCAAACTAAAAATATTTTTAAAACACAAAAAAAAAACAGGAGTAAAAGCTTTCCCAAACACCTTTGAGTGTTTGGGAATGCGGTATCTTCTACTTCTAGCTGATGAATGGCTATTCCTCCTTGTATAAAAGGATCAAAACCTTCCACACTCATAGTGGATTTACAGATTGTACCTTTTTGTCAGCCCTAGAATCAAACACCCATGTTCCATTACCATATAATCTTGTTACATGAAAAGCATTGCGATGTTTTAAAAGTATGTTCTATTTGTAAAAGTATCAAATTTGATGTTTTAAGTTTTGTTCAATGGTTTTGATGTTTTAAAAAAAAAAATGGGGAAAAAATTATTTTAATGTATTTTTAAGTGAATCATTTTTTAAAAGCACCATGCTCTACAATACCATACACACACAATATTAATGCCACTGTTAAAACGAAGAAGTTGTGTCTAGATTTATGGATGCGTTGATTTATAATAGGCACATGACTGATGAACCCCCCCTCCTGAATTTCCCCTGAATTTGATGTTTTTGATTGAAACCACTTCAATAATTGTGGTATGCACTGGATATGTAAAGCTTACATTGCAAACTCCGAGGACCTGTAATTGATATTCGTTTAGTAGGTGAAAATTTGTACTTTGCATATTTTTAATTCAAACAGTTTTAGACATCGATTGTTCTGAATGATTTCTTTGATATAAAGATTCTAAACTGGATGCTGACCTCATTATTCCGGTGGTTTATTCTGATCAACGGGAAAATATTCTTGTTTAAATGCTTTGCTTTGGCTTTTATAATGTGGTGGTTAACGACAGTAAATCATGCGTGCAAATTAATGTTTGCATGAATTCATTTTTTGCAAGCAAAACGGTGCTATTTTGAACTTGTTAAACTTCATATCTGTGTCACCATGGGTGTGGGCTGAGGAAAACAAAGGCCCCCTTTCCCTATCTAGAATTGACATTGCGAATGATGAATTTTTTAGCTTCAAAATAATTTCTTCTGTATTTTTGGATTATTTTATGCTGATGTCAAAAATGAATTTTATTTATTCTCCTCAATTGCAGGACATCGGCAGAGGATATAAAATCTCTTAGATTGATAACAGCCATCAAAACCCCGTATCTGCCTGATGGTAGATTCGATCTCGAAGCATACGATGCATTGGTGAATATGCAGATTGTTAATGGTTCTGAAGGTGTGATAGTTGGTGGCACAACTGGTGAAGGCCAGCTAATGAGCTGGGACGAACACATAATGCTCATAGGCCACACTGTTAATTGTTTTGGTAGTTCAGTGAAGGTGATTGGAAACACTGGAAGTAACTCTACAAGGGAAGCGATTCATGCCACAGAGCAAGGTTTTGCAGTTGGAATGCATGCTGCTCTTCACATCAATCCGTACTATGGCAAAACCTCCGTGGAGGGGATGGTTTCTCATTTTGACTGTGTGCTACCTATGGGTCCCACTATCATATACAATGTGCCATCCAGAACTGGCCAAGATATCCCCCCACGTGTTATTCATACTATAGCACAGAGTCCAAACCTGGCAGGAGTCAAGGAATGTGTTGGTAATGATCGGGTTGAACAATATACAGATAAAGGAATTGTGGTGTGGAGTGGGAACGATGATCAATGCCATGATGCTAGGTGGAACCATGGGGCTACTGGTGTGATTTCTGTTACTAGCAACTTGCTTCCAGGCTTGATGCGGAAACTCATGTTTGAGGGGAAGAATACTGAACTAAATTCAAAACTCCTGCCGCTTATTGACTGGTTATTTCAGGAGCCAAACCCCATTGCATTAAACACAGCTCTTGCTCAGCTTGGGGTTGTAAGGCCAGTTTTCAGGCTGCCATATGTGCCTCTTCCTCTGGCAAAGAGGATAGAATTTGTGAATTTGGTGAAGAAAATTGGCCGGGAGAATTTTGTAGGAGAAAAAAAGGTTCAGGTTCTTGATGACGATGACTTCATCTTGATAAGTCGGTATTAGACAGTACATCTTGTTGAGACGGTTCTTGATGACGATGACTTCATCTTGATTAGTCGGTATTAGACAACAGTATATCTTGTTGAGACTTCTAGTGTGGGCTCGCCAATTACTAGCTCACATTTTATGTGCTTTTCCAATTCACTTTAGCAACACATAAGCTTCATGATGTGGTGCTAGGATATGGCAGAAGGCAGATGAAGATGCCTGTCTTACGCCCTCTTGCGTTTGCTTGCGTGTAAGAGCAGGAAATGGCTCGTTTGCTAGTTGCTTTGTCTATTCTTACTTCTATGCTGAACTGTTTTTAGATGATGGTGTTATTTGAACGTGGAATAACTTCTTTTCCAAATGATTTTTATTATAAAAATATTTTTTATTTTTTAAAATTTATTTTTGATATGAAAAAGTAATTTAAAACATAAAAATAAAAATAAATTTTGATTTAAAAAAATAGATTAAAATTAACTTCCAAATATCTTCTAGGAAGAGTGTGTTAGGTGGAGGGTTTTGGGTGAGCCATTAATGTATTGATTTGAATGTATTTTGCGACCCGTTTCAAACCTAACCTTGTGCATGTACATGATAGAAGAGCTTTAGATAATGCAGATACCCTTTGTAGAAAATGAATAGAATTATATATGTTTTTTGATCTAAAAATATGATGTTAAAGCATTGCTAGTACTTTTAAAAAAAAAAAACTATGTGACTTGAATTATAAGTCTTTTTTTTTTTTTTGATTTATGTGGGGTGTCTGGGCCAGTTTATATGCACCACGACTAATCCACATGGTTCACTGAACATCCTGCAAGCCCAGTGAGGAGGTAAGGCACCGCGGGGATAACAGACGTGTATTGTGAGATTCGAACCCAAGTGACCCAAGTGCGGAGGAAGGGAACAAATTCCTTCTATCGCCAGAACCTCACAAACCTCATTTGCGAATTATAAGTCTTAATGTTAAAGGAAGAAGACAAAAAAGAAATTGAGAAATAATAAAAAAGCTCTAATTTAGTTTGAGCTTTGTAACTTGTATTGGAATTGCATAACATTCTCATTGCAAGCTTATAGGAAAAAAATTAATAAATTTAATATTAAAAACTACTTAGCCCTGAAAATAAGAAATATGGTTTTCACTGTGAAGTGTTTTGATGGAATTTACAGTGGAATGTAAGAGTCTTGACAGTAAAACCTATAACAAGAAGACCAAAAAACCCTTGACATAAGGTAAAGATTTTTTTTTTGCTTTCAATAGCACCTCAATAATTACACCGTGCACATAAATATAAAAAATTAAAAGAATACCCCTTCCTAAACAATTAAAAAAATTTAACTTTTAAAAGAATTTTAGATACCATACCATGAAAAAAAAAAAGTGAAGAGAATAAGAAATATATCATATGACAAAAACTATTTTGCCCCGAAAATAAGAAATATGGTTTTCACTGTGAAGTGTTTTGATTGAATTTGCGGTGGAATGTAAGAGTATTGACAGTAAAAAACTGTTCTCTCTCACGCGCGCATATATATTTTATAATTATAAATGTTTACATATGCACCGCGACTACTCCTTAAAAACTTTTAAGTTAATAATCATATAAATTTTTAATAATTTTGAAAATTATAACATTTAAATCAGTAGCATCTAAAAATAAATTAAAAACCTTACTAATTAAACTATATCCCTATGTAATTAATCATATATAACTCAGGCCAATCCCACGGTCCACCGTAGGCCAAGCCCTCATATATAGATTTTTGTTGATAAGAGGAGATGTTGATTTAATTCAGTACGTCGACCGTATACCAAACCAATCTCATTGGTTGGTGCAACTTATCCGTGCTGTTACAATTCTTATGGCAGTGGAACTTTAAATAATCTGATTAGTCTGGACAGCAACAAGATCTTCGGTTTCCGGAACAAAGTGTTTCTAACTGGGCCTTTGTGCTCGGGCAATTTATTACATCCAAGTCCAACTTATTTTTGACCATGTGAAAGTTGGACGGTGTAAGTATAAGCATAAGCTGTCAATGACTGTAGCAGGGAAGGGAAATGGAGCAAGGGGGGCAGGAAAGCCTCATGTGCATGTTTTCCTTTCCCATTGAAACGTCGGGCATGCGACTTCAACGGCCAGGCTAAAGAATATTTTGCTATTGTCTTATGCTTTTTCTGTGAGAAATTTGTGCATTAGCCTGTACTTGAACACTGTTTGATTGATCGTGTGATAGAACCCATTGTTAGAACCAGTTGGTGCAGAAGAGTAAGAGACAATGCGATGGGTGAGGTCAAGGTTTTTGTAATAATTAATGACTTCTGGGCTGATTGTTGCTTCTCGTAACCTTCTGCTTCACTTCACAAGTTAGGCAAATTCTAAGAGTTTTCCGGGCATCAACATACACATGGGTCACGGGTCCGGAGAACTTCACTGTCCCCGCCGTTGAGAAACTCATCTGTCTGGCTCAACTCACGAAGATGAACAACAATAACCAAAAACTAGGAAAAAAACCATATTAAATTCTTTTAAGTCACTGGATTCTAAATAACTGATTTTCCTTGATGTTTTTGCCCACCTTATATTTCCAAAAACCACCGAATACGTTGTTTTTTCCATCCGGTATTAATGAAATTCCTCTAATAGTTTATCAATTGTTACAAAACACAGAAGAAGAGAATGAAGGAGAAGGTGAGATGACGGAGAAAGATTGAAGAAAGCATTGATCCTCTTCATTTCTATTAATACTCTTGCATTCGATCTGCATATAGTAACTTCTCCTACACAGATATATATGGTCATATTAGTTGTTGGGAGCCAAGTGGTCATGAAGAGTATTAGAGGATTTCTTTTGGAGCAGGTAAAACAGAGCTTGATTTTCTTGGTGTAGAAGGAGTGCTTTCTTCCTCAGCTTCTCATTCTCTTCTATGATGCTTTTGTTCTCCATGTACAGTTTCAAGTTCTTGATCTCCATCTCTTTCTTCACCAGTACAGCCATCTTCTTCTCCTTAGTTTGTTTGGTCAACCTTCTCTTCCTGTGACATCATACAATATTTAGTACTTCAATTTGAGATCAGAGAGACACACACACAGAGAGAACTACTAACCTGCTTAGCCTGTGATATCGAAGGCTGTGTCCTTTTGATGGCTGTTGATTGCTAAAAGCAATATACAAGGGACTGCATGGGCTCAGTTTTGAACATGTACTAGCACTCATTTTGTTTCTCGTTAAAGTTCAGTTTTTGTGTCACAGAGAAATGGGGGCTTGTTCTTTTTCTTGTAAAAAGGTGCCTAAAAGAGAGGGAGAAAAGCTTAGAAAGGAAGATGGGTTTGGGGGGGTTGTAGCTGATGGTAGAAACTAAGAGAAATAAAATGAGAGTTATATAGAAGGGGTAATGTGGCTGTGCTTGTATCTGCATATGAAAGAAAAAGAGAGAGAAGCTTTTCATGATAATGATGGCATGAGGACTCATGATTACAAAGGCCAGCGATAGACGGGGACTGCAGAGAAGAAGAAGAAGAAAAAAGGGAGGCTCTCCGCTCTCCTTTTCTTTGGCCTTTTTTATTACTATTTCAGAAAGTCTAAAGACTAATGAGCTGGTTGAACTGGTGGGGCCTTTTTTTGGTCCCACAGAATAGGACTATACAGTTTTTTTACTGTGTTTGTTTTCATTAAAAATTGATTTTTTATTTTTTTATTTTAAATTAATATTTTTTAACAATTTTTTAGTGTAAACAGATCAATCTTAAAATAAAAAATTATTTTAATATATTTTGAAATAAAAAATATTTTACTATAATTTTGTATTCAAAAAATGAATTTAAAAATAAATAAATTTATTTTAATATATTTTTAAATAAAAAATGCTATATAAAACAACACAATCTTCTTTTTAAACAACTTGAAGTCACTTTTTTGAAATGTGAAACTTCCCCTTTCAATTGCAATCCTGTCGAACAACATCTAGTCACTCCTAGCATCCTAGTTTGGCAAACTAATATACTAGATCTGAACCCTCGCTATTTTCTGAATTTGTTTTTTCTTCGCGGAAAAGATGATGTATACACACTATAAGCATGTTTGAGTTTAATAAATTAGTTTTATTTTAATTAAATAATAAAAATGATTGGTAGCTATAGTAAACAATCAAAATAAAAATAAAAAACATGATAACCTAGAAAAAAATATTTAAAAATATGTAATCGAATTACAAATATATAAATAATAGGATCGAGTTATTTTGAAGTAACGCAATAAATATATAAATTAACTATTATGAGTGCTAGTAGCAACAACAACAACAATATTATTAGTATTATTATTATTATCATTAATATTATTACCATGATTATTATTGTTGTTGTTGTTATTAGAAAAAAATCACACTTAAATTGAATGATAAATCTAAAAACTATAAAAAATTTGGAAAAAAACAAAGAAAAAAATAAAAAAAGTCAAAAGAAAAAGAATCAAATTGAAAAATATTATATATAAAAATTAAAATTGAAAACAAATAAACTTTAAAAAAAAAACAATCAAAACTATAAAAATCGAATTTGAAACATCAATAACAATAGGAATAGGATTAGAGTGCATTTCTTAATGTAAAAAAGAGAAATGAAAGGAGAAAAAAAATTTACTAGTGATAAATCAAATAATATGTACAACTTAAAAAAGAAAATGTGGCAAAATAAAATAATAAAAAAAATATTTTTTTATGTTAGAAGTCGTAACACCGGCCAACAACTTTTTTATTTTAAAAAAACTTAATTAAATGCTAAATCATGCTATTGCTTTTCACCAAACCAATAATTAACAAAAAAAAAAAAGAAGGTAAAAAGACCTAATACCTCTGATTCCACTACTTAAATCTTATAACTTCAAGGACATATTTTTAACTTAACTGTGTATTAAAAAAAAGGAAGACTTAAAACACCTCTTTCTTATGGTGTTTTGTTTTTTAAGATATTTTAATTATCTTATTATCCATTAAAATATTAAACAGATGAAAACACCTCTAAATAAGACAACTAAGATAATGCGTTGTGTGAAATGAGACAAGTAGAACACTGGTTAAATGACAAACACTTTTTCTAGAAAACCTATACATGTCGGTTCACATTATAATGAATAGTGAATCATATCAATGGCGAAAGTAAAATCACCTTCCCTTCGTGTTGTTGTTTTATATAAATCCCATCCCATGTGCTGTAGCGATGGACATAGTTCAGGTCAGTATAAGATTTCTCTTATCACTGTAAACGTGAAGCCGATGATCAATCCCTAAGGTG